AGCGCCTGCCTTGCAAGTGTGTGGTCATGAGTTTGATCTCTGGTACCAATAAAAAAGAAAAAGACAAAAAAAAAATTAAAAAAAAATAAATTGTATATGAGGCTGAGGGCTTAAACAACTTGCCTAAATGTAAACATATCACAAGTGTTAAGGCTGGGGTTTTAGTCATTTTTCTTGTCTTTGAGACACAATACCTGACACTCAAAAATTAAAGGGGGAAATGTTTATTTTGCAAAGCTTATTTTTAGAGGATTTAGTTCATAATCAGCTGGCTCCAAAGCAGGAACGACATGGTGGAAGGGTCTAATAGAAGAAAGCTGCTCATGTCATGGTAGCCAGGAAGCAGAAAGAGAAGGGAGGAGCCAAGGAGAGAGATATTCTTACAGGTCACACACCTGTGACCTATCTTTCCTGAGGTGGCACCACTGCCTAACAGCATATTCAGCTATGAACTCATTAGTGGACGAGTCCACTGATGAGTACAGTGCCCCTGTAATCCAATCACCTTTCAAAAGCTCCATCTCTGAGCACATGAGAATTTTGAGGGGACATTCTAGATCTAGACCACAACAGCTGGATTCTTCAAAGTATATAAATGTTTTATTTGAACACTTGAAATTCTAATACGGAAGACAAGAGTGTACAAAGCAATATGGCACCAAGCAAGCTGGGCCATCATGGAGGCTCTGCAAAGTATTGCTGGAAGAACAAGTATGTAATGCCTGGGAGACCAGGAAAACTTCATGGGAGTGGATCTTGGAAAGAGTCACAGGAAGAGATGGATCGGGGAAAGCCACACAGGCAGGAAAGAGCAGCTATTGGGAAATAGTCAAGCAGTGAACTACAGAAGGGAGCAGAGGAAGGCTGGGGGCGAGGTGGAAGAGGTGGGGTGTGATGCCCAATGTGCTGGTGTGTTTCTCTAAGGCATGTGGTCCTTGCCCTGTCAGCACTGGGGAGTCCTTTGGATTTTTAAGCAGGAAAGTTAAAAATATTAAATTCGTAAGAAAGTAAATGTCATTGTAGAGATGGGACTGGGGAGGGAACAATGGAAGTGTCTGAATCCCACCCTCCCCCAATCTGCTCAGTATGTTTCTCATTTTCTTCCTTGTTGAGAGAGCTGCGAAGGATACTGGACTTTGGAGCCGTAAGTCTGTTTCATTTCTTTTCTCTCTTGTACCTACATACCTACCTAGCTACAATATCTGATAAATAATGGCCGAGGGCTTACAATGAACAAGGAATCATGCTGAGTTCTGAGGAGCTAGGGATGAATAAGACTGACATCTCATCCTGGCCACCTGGGTTTAGAATCCAAAGGAGAAATGAGGCAAGTCAATAGGCTCTCCAGCACAGCAGGATACACAGAAGGCTGAGGAAGCTCATGAGGAGGATGAGGTAAAAGTATCACAGTGCCTTCAGGAACTAGTGGAAGTTCAAAGGGGCTGCAGCACAGAGTGTGAGGGGAAAGAATGTGAATAGAAGGGGCTGCAGATCTGAAGACTTCAGTAGGCCAAATCATGAAAACCATGTGCACTATGTTCAGAAGCCAGGACTCCTGAGGGCAATGAGAAACAAAAACATTCCACTAGGGTGTGACATGACAACAACCTTGACAGCTTCTTGGCGAATACTACATTGAATATTTACATCTACGCTGAATGCTCCACAGGCATTAGCTCATTTAACCTTTACAAGCTCGAGGTAGATTCTAATTTTTTTCTTTGTAGTCCTGGGGATTGAACCCTGGCCTTTAAAGTGAGTGCTCATCCCTTTTTGTATTTTTAATTCTGAGGCAGTTTTTCATTAAGTTGCTAAACTGCCTACCCTTGGCTTGAATTTGCACTCCTCCTGTCTCATCCTCCCAGAGTTCTGGAATTACAAGAATGCACCATTATATCTGACTGTAGGTTCTGTTATCATCCCTACTTAAAGATAAAAGAGAGGTAGTGAGAGATAGTCTAATATTCCAGCATGAATCCATGCCTCTTACCTAGAAGACCAATAAAGTGACTGATGAGAAGTGAGTAGGTCTGAAAAATAGGGCTTGATACTTTTGGAAATTGGCTGGAAATAGGAAAGGAGAAACCCTGAATTATGAACCTCCCATCCTAGTTTGAGTGTGAATTCTATTCCCTATTAGCTGATAGGGAGATGATCCTCACACAATAACTAACTTGATATAGTCCTTATAAATTGATACAGTAAGTTCCAGCTCAAAGTGAAGAAGTGTTATTACAGGTGCCCTGGGAATATTTCACCTACAATCAGGTAGGATGTCCTTTAGGCTTTCTGAAATAATAAAAATTGATCATGGATTTCTAGTAATACCTTTTGGGTCTCAAGATTCTCAGGGCCTAGGTTATAAACCAAGGGATTTCAAGTAAGTGTAGTTCCTCTCCACCACCAAATCTGGAAAAAAAAAAAAAAGTCCTATAGATAGGAGAGATTCTTCCAAATTCTAGGTCAAATTTTTTCTTCCTTTACTATCTCCTCTTCCTCCTCCTCTCATTAAAGCTTAACTAAATTCAGTTCAAAAATCTGCTGTCTGGAAGCTATAACAGTTGCAGCCTCCTATCAGCCCTTGGAAATTTATTGATAGCTCTTGTTTTGTTATTAAAATTTTCAGTTTGAAGCTGTCTTCTATTCAGTGTGTAAGTTCACTGAATAATAATAAAAACAATAATCATAATGACAGTTATTATTAATGAAACTCCTACTTGTATCTCTCAGATACTATATGTAGACCTTTTTATATTATCTCATTGTATTTTGCCCTACAACCATCCCATGAGAGTATGCATAACCATTTTCATTTTACATATGAATAAACTTACATTTACTGCAGTTAATACTTTACCAAAAATCGTTCAGACAGGAAGCAGTGCAACTGAGATTTGTATTAAGGTTTATTTCGTTGCATAGTTCATGTTAACCATCTCCTCAGTGTAGTCAACAGGATCTAACAGAATGGTGGGCTGGGGCGGAGGTCACTCAGCTGATCAAGAGCAGAGGAAGACTTGGCGACCAGCCTTGGGATTTGGCGGGATATAGACAAAGTAGCTGGTTGTCACACTGGCAATATATGCCACATGGGTTGTTCCTATTAGATTTGAAGAACCAAATGCCTGATTTAGTACTATTGTACTAGAATAGTAACCATTCCCTTCCTCCAATTAATGGGAGGCCTCACCCTCAATTGAGTGGCCTTTCTTTTTTACAGAAGAGTTCTTCACTGGGGCTGTAAAAGCCTCTGTTATTTGGAGAAGACAGTCACACTGGAGATGTACTTCTTCAATTACTTTGTCTGCCTTCTCATGGCTTCCACTTCTGCTGACAGAAAGATCCAGATGATGGCACTCAATCCTCCACCATTTATAAACCTACACAACTTGTACACAACCTATAAAACCTCTGAAGAGCTGAAATGGTGCAAGTTTGCTCAGCTTGGCTCAAGGGGTCTGTGATGGCCCATTCCTGAGCAATGGTGGTAGAGTTGATGTTGAAACAAACACAGGTCAAGTGATGTGGTGTTGGGGGATGCCAGGTAGCAGTCAGGCTTGTGACAAGATATGAAGTTCCATCACGTTTCTCTGAACTTTATCTGTAAAATGAAAGTGATGAATTAGATGGGTGCTAAGGAACAGTCTAGCAATGGACTCTGGAATATGATGGATTTATAGCTGGGCATGTAGAAAAAACTGGCATATTTTCCAGCTTTATATGTGTCTGCTCCAAAATTCAGGTGTGATGGTATTAAGAAGTGGGGCTTGGAGGGTGATTAAGCAAAGATGTTTCCTCATTCATTAATGGGATTAAGGTCTTTAAAAAGTCTTCACAACGCATTTGGTCAGCTTGCTAGCTTGCTTTTAAGCCATGCAAGAACTCAATTTTCTGCCTCTTCAGAGGATGCTGTCTCACCAGACCACTCAAGCTACTACTTGATTCTAGACTTTCCAGCTTCCAAAATGATATGAAACAAAGGTTTGTGTTCTTCATAATATACTGAGCATCAGGTATTTTACTGTAGCAGCACAAATGAATTAAGATAAGCTACTCCCCCAGTTCTGAGTATGTGTATGTGGTAGAGGTGACAGGGAGAGAGAAATACTGGGACACTGAAACCACAGATATTAGAAGGCCCCACTTCCAAATAGAACAGTGGAATCCCAGAGGCTGAGGAACTGTTGCTTAAAATACTCCAAGAAATCACATAACTGGTCACTAATCTACATTAAACTGGTTCTGTACCTGCCAGCTCATTTATCCTTGCAGGGTAAAGGTAACCCCATTCATCTCTAGCTTTGTCTGTAGACTCAACACTAACATTATGACTACTGGGGCAAACTTTGCCTATTTTACTTTTAGCTTGAGAGCAGGTTGAGTAAGGATTCTGCATTTGCTACCTCTGAGATAAAGTCTCCTTGTTAGGGTGAGGCACCATGCTGGTCCAGGAGATGACAGCAAGAAAGGGTCTTGGACTGTCTTTACTGAATCCATGGGTGTGATCTCAGAACCAGGCTATTCAGGCACTTGAGCCCACAACTGTATGGCAGGACTGTGTCTCCTGTCTGCAGTACTGTGATGAGCAGTGATGGGGGATAAATATACAGAAAAGACTCAGAGGTGTCACAGACTGAATCTTCTCCAGCAGCCACAGAACAGACAGGTGGGCTGGTGTCTATATGATGTGAAAAAGCTGGAGCCAACCAGGAAAACCAACTAGAAAGTGGCACAGTATATCCTTTCTTTTTTTTTTTTTTTTTTTTTACTCTTTTTCGTTTTTATCGATACCAGGGATGGAACTCACGACTGCCTGCTTACAAGGCAGGCACTTATGCCGCTGAGCTAAATCCTCAGCCCCTTCTGGTGGACCACAAGCTCTTGTTTTAACAGGTGTTGAGGAAAATAACATCTTGATAACTCAGGCCTCTACTTTCGCTTTTAAACTATGCCCCACTGATCTGATGAGGAATATTCAAGTGACAATTCAATTTCAAAACTACATGGGGAAAATTGTCATAATTTATTTACTTAAAATTTCATACACGTATAAATATTTGCCCACATTAAGAATCACAGAAAGCCAGAGCCTCTACTTCTCTCAGCAGATTGCACTCAGCTCTGCTCCTTTAGGCTTTTCCATTTCCCAGTTTCTGGCCAGCAAATCTTCAGGATGCTTCCTGATGTTGGAAGCAGGGACAAGTGAAAAGAGTGGCTGTGCAGGAGGGGGAAGTCCCTCCCACATACCATTTGGGGTGCTCTGGGTAAGTCCCCATTCTGAGTTCAGGTTTGGATAAACACAAGTGTGCCTCCTGGAAGACTGATGTCATCACAGGTTTTTATGACCAACTTTGATTTTTAAAAATCATATACTGTGGGATTTACTTAGGGGGTTTCAATGGACAGACTCTTGCATTTTATAAGCACTGATTGTTTTTCTCTTATATGGTAAACAATGCTGTAGCATGTGGCAACCTCAATATACGTCCGGTCTTGCTTTTGATAAACTATCTAAGTGTCAGGTAAGCAAATCCCAACCAGGTGCTATTGGGAGCACTCAATTCCTTTCTTGGTGGAACAATATGCAATCAGATTAAGCTTCCAGGCTCTGCAACAACATATATATTCAAAGTAAATTTCATACAGATTACATTGTTAATATATATTGTTCAAATAGTGAAGACACTAGATTATGTACAAATTCACGTCCAATTGACCGCACACCAACATGGACATAATGTCTACAGGACAGAGAAAGGCAACTGGTGTGTGTGGGGGGGACATACAAGAACTACTGTTGACTGAAATTCTTCTTTTCCCCTCTAAACTACCCTTTTGGGAGGGTGGTATAAAGAAATAAACTCCATTTGCTGGCATGCGACTGCCTCAAAAGCCTTCAGTTTTTAGGTTATGATTCTTGTAAAGGCAAACAGGCTCTTAAAGAAATTATAACCTTTGACTTGATTCTCCTGGATCCCTTCCCTCCAGAGAGCAGGAAGGACTGTGTCTATGGTTATGGCTGATCCACACTAGAAAGGTATACTTGAGCTGGCTGTGACACATGGGCACAAGGGGCAGTTCTGGAAACCTAATTTTGAGAAAATGACTGACGGCTCTAAGTCTGCAGACATTTCCGCCACAGCAATGAAAGCACAGGATTCCAAAGGCAAAATGGGATGAGACTGATTTGGTTACTCTCACAGGGGTAAACTTTAATAGAAAATATAATCTGCAATGATTTTCAAGTTTTCAAGGGAGGGTCTACAACTAGTTAGTCATGACCTTGTATTCACCTCAGATTAAGAATATGATACTGGAAGGTTCCCTTTTCTGTCTTTGAAACAAAACAAAAAGATTCAAATGAAGCCTGAGTACAGCAACAGGGCCAGGTTCAATCTGAAAAGAAAGGAGATTCAGATCTTTGACAAGGAAAGAAGGTTGCTCGACATGGCTTTTCTAGACAGAGCATGCCAGGGCCTGGCCAGCAAGGGCCTTTCATCCTCACCAAGAGGGAGGAAGGAAAGGACAGAGTTTCTTTAGTGATACTTCCCCAGACACAACCATGAGAACTTCAAGAGCACAGATGCTCACAGATGAACAAATACTTCCTAGAGCTTGCTCTTATGTATTCTCAGAACATGGAGAAATAATCACCTGAAAATTGATAGGGAAATGTTCCAGGCTTATCTCTCCAGTGCACTTTCCCAGGCAATCATTCCATATGATTCAATGGTGCTTGTTTCCAAGGATTTGTCTGGCCCTTCCTCCAGCCTATAGAGCCTTTTGCTTATGGATGGGGAACCATCCAGCTGATTACCACTGCAAGACTCACTCACGGCTGGTCCTCAGTGTTGCTTACAATAGTAAGGGCACCAACTCTAACTTCAGAATTAAGTGATGACACTCAGATCAAAGTGGTCGTGAGAGAACAGGATGATGATGAAACTTTCTGAAATCATTTGTGTTACAAAAAGGCTACTTTTATATTTGAGGGATCTACCAGTGGGTAGGTTTTGCTTATGCACAAAAGAAAGCCAACTGTTTTCCAGCAAAACACTGAGAAAGAAAACTGAAGTGGTGCTGGATATGCAATGGTGTCTACTCTGTAGAAAGTAAGAATAGTTCTAATCTCTGGCTTAAAAAAAAAAAAAAAAGATACCCATCTGCCAGCCCATCTCCCTTTAATGTGTTCTTTACTGATTGGGCTGATCAGAAACATCTTAGGTTGTTAGAATGATTTCTATATTCAAACATAACAAGATGCCAGTGAGATAGGTTCCTGAAAAAGGACACAATTACTTTGCAGTTAAATAATTTAACATCCTAGATCAGTATGTGAAGAAATCTGAAAATTTCCTATGAAAAATTTGTAGCCTGTGTTTCAAGTCAAATGAAAAATATGTCTTCCAGTATTTGTTTCTCCTCCAGATCTTCAGGGGTCCTGCAGGCTCCCATCTTCTTCCATGTTGATTTCTGAGGACTAAGTCGGAGAGTACTGTGATTCCAAGTTCCAGCTTCTCTGGAGAGATGAGGCTCAGGTTTGGAAGCAGAGTTCGGGCTCAGAGACTGAACCAAATCCAACAAAGATGTCTCGTACCTGTCAGACACAAAACCCAGACATAAACAGATCAGGCTATTAGAACACTAGAATCCAAGAAGGCAATTATGGGCTGCCCAGGGCAAGAGTCACAGATCACAGATGACATCATGTGCTCTAAGACGACTCCTTGGGGAAACTTTAGAGAAGGAACACACAGAAGAGCTTCAGAAACAAGGCCCCACTATCTGTCAGTTCTTCTCTTCTGCTGACCTCTAAATACTCCTTCCTAACTTATGAAGAGTTGGAAAAATAAACATGATACAGTAAGGGCAATGTCTATTACTTATTGCAGAGTAGGGCTAGGAAGATAGTGGCTTCATCACCTGAAATATATAGGATTCTTTATTGTTCTGACTGGGCAGAGAAATGAAGAATTATATAGAGATTTCCCATAGCCACAAAGTGATACAATACTCATTATATCTGGCTGCCCAGAATCAGTTACTCTCTATAATAAGGGAAAAGGAACTTGGTATTGGCAAACATTAGTAATGCCTACCTACTGAGCAATGGGTCTCTGACATAATTTAGAATAATTTTCTTATTTTATAGATGAAGAAACAGAAGCCCAGAAATGTATACATATACTGAGATCACGGAACAAATGCGTGGTTTTAAACCAAGGCTTTTTGGACTGCCCAGACTAGTGTGTCTTCAATCTTTCCATCCAGACAGAGAAGATATTGTTTAAATAAAAAGTAAAAGAAAGAATGGATCCAATTTCCAACTACCTTTTATTTTAAAAGTATAGTATGATTGATTGTAACCAGACTATTCTTCCAACATATTAATGTACTTAAGAAACAAATGTTTATCTTATGGTCCTACTGTTGGTATGAATATTCTGTTTCTCTAGGAGGCACATTCACTTATGGATGACACTGTGGTTGTGGTAGGCAGTGCTCACCTTTCAGATGCACTTCATAGCTTATTTTGTTCAACAAGTGTATTGACAGTACTTTTGACATCAGAAAAAAAATAATTTGGTAAATTAAAAACCAACAAATACCCAGGATTAGTTTAAAAAGCAAAACTTAAAAAAATCATCCAGTCTATTACAAGAATTACAAATGCCATAAAGCAAATGCAAATGAATTCTTGTGGGACTTTGCACTAATTACCAGAAATAAAGTATTATCAGATTGCATTCTGTGAGCTGTGTGTTTTGGTTTGTTGAGGTGACATGTGATAGGGGACTCTAAGGTTGATCAGTTTGGTCTGACCCCATTGGGGCTGTTTGGCAGTTGAATAATTTAAAGTGACACTTCACTTACTAAAATACCATAAAATACTATCTCTTTAAGTATCTGACTGTGTTTTACCCTTGGGAATTAAATATGCTGTCTCTACTTTATAGAATCAGTATTCAAAAGAGTTTCCTAGGCACAGAAGCTGACTTTAATAGCTTCATTATGGACAAATGATAAATAAAAGACTTATTTGGTCTACTCTACCAGTCCCATCCTGCACTGGGCTATAGTAATATTAATTCTGTCTTCCTACAGTTGTTTTCCAGTTTTGTTTGCCTCTGAACTAGCAAAATACTGAGACAAAACATAAAGATGTAGCCTCTGCTGATTTGACTTGGTTTATGTTCTAGTTCAAAAAAGGGCCAGTCTGACATGGCCAAATGGGTACAATATAGACCTTGCTCTGAGTTCCGATATCTGCTTGATATCTATATTCAGATGTATAATAGGCATCTCAAACTGTACAAAAAAGAAATCTTACTTTTTTCTGTAAATTGTGTTCTTTCCTATCAACCCAGTTGGTTTGGGCTAAAACATTGCTGTTATCATTGACTCTTATCTCTGAGCTCTGTCTTGTGCTTTCCTTGCTTAGGATGTTTTTTAACATTTTGTTTACTTTCCCTATCCACTAATATTTTTGTTTAAATGTTGCCTCCTTAACAAAGCTTTCCTTGGGTACTCTATACACATGAAACATCACTTTATAGACACTTTGCTGGTATTTTACTGTGTCATTCAATATTATTTAAGATATAGGTATATGTTTATTTATTCATCATTTCTCTCAACAGTCTTGTGTATAAGGATAGAGTCATGATTTTGTTTATTGTTGTTATCTCTAGTGCAAAGAACAGTAACACGTACAAGGAAGGTGCTACGCATTTGTTAAATAAATGAATGATCTCAAGGCTTAAGTTTTGGCACCTTGCTCCATAGGCACTTTTAAAAATCTTTGGACAGCTAGTCTGTAATAAATCTCAATATATATCTGAAACATGAAATATATTACTCATCCACAGAATCTTCTTTCATGAAAAGGATACTATATGCATAATTTATATAAACTATTTTTCATTTAATATATTGGGAGAAATTTTCTATACTAATATTATATATTATTACTAGGCCTTTTTTTTATACCAGGGATTGAACTCATGATCTCACACTTGCCAGGCAGGCATTTATGCCACTGAGCTAAATCCCTGGCCCTATTCTATTTTAATGACTTCAGATTATTTCATTTTCTGAATATACTTACATATGTTTAATCAGTTGTCTATTGAAGACCACTTCGCTTAGGCACAGAAGTCTTGGAGCCTAAATCAACTGTATCTTATTCCTTTAGCCAAAGCTTGAAAGGCTCTCCCCACCCTATCTGTCATAGGTTAGCAACACTCCCCTCTTCACTGTGTTCTGTCATTTTTTCCTTTTATTCTCAACCTTTCCTGTCATCCTCAATGCTTCAGGATCTTTTGGTTCATGATATAATCTACTATATTTTATATTCTTCACAGAGTTATTCTGTCTCCTAGTTTTCAGAGAAATGGGACTCTTTCCTGAGATCAGTCAATCTCTTACATCTTTTTGAGTAGAAAATATTTATATTTAACATATACCATGTGTTTCTGGGTCAAGAATTAGTACTGGAATTGTCATTGTTTTTGACCATTATGGCCTGAGTCTCTATTAACTCGTATTCTCCCCAGGATACTATCATCTACTCTACTACCCTCGACTTCTTTTCATCTGTATCATTTATGGATTCACTAGCATTCAATTCCTTACAGTTCAATTTTTCCCATCATACTCAACCAATAGCTGACTTCTTAGTTCTTTGACCTCCTCTCAATTCTAAAAACTTTCTCAGGAAGGCTTTCCGTAATCATATTCTAGAACTTGTCATCAGTGAACACTGTATCAGTTCTGAATTCAGTAATATAAAATCCAACGATTTTTTGATGTTCATGTTTACCCTTCAGGCTTGGTTGTTCACCATTCCCATTATCTGTGTCCATTGCACTCATTTGATCATTAATTCAGTTATTGTTTTACAAACTAGGAATAAAGTAGTAGTGGTAAAACTTTTCTCCTAGGACATACTGTCTTCTCAACTCTATCCATTATCCTACTAATTTTCATGGCATAGCTTTCCAAACACTCACTCAATAGTGCTCTTCAAGACATGTCCTTTTTCCTTCCTCCAAATAACACTGGATGAATCCCAATGTCTGCCTTTTCTATGAGCTATACTTGGTCAATTTAGTGTAGAGAAAACAAAACCAAAACCAAACCTACCACAAGCAAACAAAGTACACCTATACTTAGATTCACAGTCAATATGTCTGAGTGCTAAACGTTTTTTTTGGTGGGTCTACTGTACTTCTTTAATTGGTTATTTCATTTTCTTTATTTCTCCTTTTTGCCACTCACCCTAAACCAATGGTCTTGCTTTCTACTTTAGGAAAAAACAAAGGTCATCAAGTAGAAATTGTCTTTATAGTATCAAATTTACAAATTTTCAGGACTCTTATTTTCTCCTTTTACATCAGTGGAGTGATTCTTTTCTTAAGGTCAGTTGTTTCATTTTTGCTTCTTCTGAACCTTATGGTCTTGATTATATAGTCCTGAACCTTAATAATTTCTTACTTAGTAGAAAACCAAGAACATCTAAGAGGTTCTTTCCATAATCAAATAATTTCTTCTTTCTTTTTCTTTTCTCTCTCTCTCTCTTTCTCTCTTTCTTGTCTTTCTTGAGATGAGCTTTCATGATGTGGTTCAGGCTAGCCTTGAACTGATTTTGTAGCTCAGGCTGGCCTCGAACTCACAGTGATTCTTTTGGCTCAGTCTCCTGAGTGCTGGGATTACAGGTGTATGCTACCATGGCCAGCCCAAATAATTTCTGAGTTGATTTCATTCTGATGGTCACTTTCTACTCCTCCAGTAAAAATAAAATTACCAAATTTACCAATGATTTTCATATTCCTAAATCCAAAAGATTATATGTGGCTAATCACTTATTTATGAACTTGAAATTGTTTTATTGAAGTAAAGCATCAGAAAAATATATTAAAATATGCTGCTCAGTGGTGTTTAGTTTATCTAGCGGGTTCAGTTATTATCATCATCTAATTTTAGAACATCGTCATTCCTCCCAAAGAAACTGTACACAATGATAGTCACTCTCATTCCTAGCCTCTTCGTCCTGCACTAGACAGTCACAAAACTACTGCTTCCAAAGATTTGTCTGGATAGTTCCTGTAAAAGGAAACCATAAAACATATGGCACTTGTAACTGGCTTTTTTTCCTCAGCATTATATTTTTAATGTTCACCACATTGTAGTTATATCAACATTTTGTTCCTTTTTGTTGGCAGATAACATTACAAACTGTGGATGTATTTTGTTTGTCTGTTCATCACATAATGGACACTGGGCTATTTCTACTTTTTGGCTGTTGTGCACAGAGCTACTATGGACATTCACGTACAAGTTTTAGTATAGAAGTGCTTTAAATTCTCTTGGGTAGATACCTAAGAATGGGATTCTGGGCCACAGTATAACTATGTTTAACCTTGTAAGGAATTGCTAAATTGTTTTCAAAATGTCCACACCATTTTACAGTGTCACTAGCACTGAATTAGGGACCTATAAGTATCAGTAATATGGAGGTCTTTTTCTGGCATCATTAAACTTGTTTAGAGAAGACTCAATATTCTGGATGGCAGGGAAACATAGTGTAACTCTTGA